GCTTGAAAAAGCACTTGCCCAGGAAGGAGTAGGATGAGGTTTCTCTGCATTCAAAATCAGTCCCTGCTGAAGAGCTAACAAGAATTCTGGCAAGGAGAACTATTCAACACAGGGAAAGCAGGGCCTGAAGTACTGGTTTAAGAAGGGAATCACAGGTAATTTTATCCAAGGTTTAATAGTAACGATGCACATAACACCTTTAAATATTATCCTGCTCTGCAGATAGAGAAATTGATAGCATCTGCTCATCTGGGAGAAGAATACAGTAGTTAAATGGTTAACTTTTTTTTGAAAATCACTGTGCTAAGATCCACCAGAAAGTACAAAATCTCTTTGGGGACTGGGAGGCGCAGTCATCCCAAGATACTCATCCCAAGACATCCTGCTTCTCTGGACTATATCCCTTGAAAACTTTTAATTCTGGCAGTGGCCCATAAACACCAAGAAGCAGCAGCTGTGTTCCCCTTCTGCGACAGGATGTTGACTGCTAAATCACATTTTCTTAATGTAAACCAAGTCCATTAATACTCCAGTAAATCAGCTCAGTAAACACCCCCCCCAAAAAGTCCTCAGGCTGGTCCAATGCAGTGATGCGACACTGAGGCAAAGCAGCTTCTTAACTTAGAGGAGTCAAGGAAAAATTACTGTGCCAAGGGCACTTTAATCATAAAAGAAACAAGAGCCAGAGGCACAGAAGGAGCTTTTCTTCACTAATGGCAGAGACACTGCGACAGCTAAGGAACAATTACAGAGCTGCTGCTTCAGAACTCACTGTCAGTGCCAAGATGGGAGGAGCCAAGCTCAGAAATGGAGATCTAGAACCAAAATTGCTTTTGCAGAAGTGACACAACACTGACAAAGACCTACCATCATATGATTTCAAACAGCTACAGCAAAGAAAAAATTGTATGTATGAGTATGGGAGGGGATTCTGCTTTACAAAACTGACATCTTCAGAAACTAAGACAATAAAACAGTTCACATCATGATCTGGAACAAGAAAATACAATTACAGCTGTGCACTTCCATCCCATTTTGTCCCTAAGAACTCACATTACATACCCTTTGGAACAGACCAGGACTGTACTGAAGAAGGACATCAAGGGGAAAAAAAGACTGCTATTAAAAATAGATACCTTGAGGTATGCCACTATTTTTCACTCGAGGTTCAACCACTTGAATTGTATCATCTTCAAGGAAGAAGTATATTTTACAGTGTCTGATTCTATAGTTCTCTTGATTTTTGTGAGGCACTTCTTCTTCAAAATAGGCATCAAAAGACAATACCTATTAAAAACAAGAAATAAGCATAAAGCAGCAAAATCTCCAATGCTTTGGTAAAATATGTCAAACTTACAGATTACTTATAGATTTTCAGTAACTAAATGTATGGATTTCAGGAGGTAGATTTATTTCCCAGAAACGTAAGAACAGAAATCCACATTAAATCACATAAATTTAAAATTCTTTGCTTGGCATTTTTTACTATCACAACATCTTAGCAGAGATGGAGCTCTCAAGTAGAGAAATAAATCAAATATAAAAACTATCAGCAGGTTGCTTGGAAAACCTTCCCAGCAAAGCATTTTTGGGAACACAATGAGCTACCTAGGTCCTGAAGCAAACTTTTGACTGCTATTCTATGAATTGCTGAAAAATAAATTTCATTATGACAGCAATGGATTTGCTACTGAGGTAAGTGGAAAGAGCTCTTTGGAAACAGATCCTGCAAGCTTTCAAATGAACAGCACTGAAGGCTGTCAGAGAGAAATGACATTTTTCAGGAGTCATTTACAGCTGTGCAATACTGGCATTTCAAAACTTACCTGGTTCTGCACTTCAGTGAGTGGGGAAACCTCAGAGGTCTTCAAGGTCTCTGAGCATAGCAATAATGCAAAAAAACTACCTTCACAGGTGAGGTGCTCAGTGGTTTGCTACAGTGCCCTTCATGTCTGGAGATCCCAGCTCCAACTCAACACAAGTTCTGCATTTCTTGGTATCATTTGGTCTTTAATGACCAAGACCAATTTTAAGGGAACATGCAAGACATATCTACTTCAGAGTGCATTATCTACCAGAATGTTTGCTGTGGTATGTGCAAAAAAATTAATTAAAATTCCATCCTCCACCCCCAACACATTAGGGTCAAATCAGTGCTAATTCATACTTCATTTTTCACACTGGTTATATTTAATAAATTCAATTACCTTTTTTCTTGATTCATCAGGCAAACTGAAGCATTGAAAAAGAAGACAATTTAGCGTTCCCTATGTTTCAATAAGCATCTATCAACTGCCTGACAGGAGGCTGGAGTCAGGTGATCCTCCACCCCCAACACATTAGGGTCAAATCAGTGCTAATTCATACTTCATTTTTCACACTGGTTATATTTAATAAATTCAATTACCTTTTTTCTTGATTCATCAGGCAAACTGAAGCATTGAAAAAGAAGACAATTTAGCGTTCCCTATGTTTCAATAAGCATCTATCAACTGCCTGACAGGAGGCTGGAGTCAGGTGGGGGTCGGTCTCTTCTCCCAGGCAACCAGACAAGATGTCACAGACTCAAGCTCTGCCAGGGGAGGTTTAGGTTGGATACTAGGAAGAGATTTTTTATGGAAAGAATAATCAGACATGGGAATGGGCTGCCCAGGGAGGTGGTGGAGGTGGTGTCCAGGGAGGTGCCCAGGGAGGTGCCCAGGGAGGTGGTGGATTCACCATCCCTGGAGGTTTTCAAGCTGAGACTGGATGTGGCACTTAGTGCCATGGTCTAGTGACCAATGGTATGGTTGGACTCAATGATCTTGGAGGTCTTTTCCACCCCAGTTGATTCTATGATTCTATGATTTGAAAATGTTTGAAATCTAGTAATCTAGCTGAGTACCCTACATACTGTGCACTCCTTTAGCACATGCCTCTGGGAATCTCAATGTACTTCCATCAATACTAAGGACAGAGATGTTAGAACACGCTAATAGACAAAAACAACCTCCCTTTTCACATCTGAGGACAGACAGCTAGCAGCTTGCTCAGGAGCACACAAGAACAGCCACCTGTGTTCTGCTCAGACTTCCCAACAGGCCACATTCCCTCCTCTTGGGCAGGTTAAGTGCAAGATTAAGAGAAGTGCAAGAGTTAAGTGCAAGATTAAGTGCAGGTTAAGAGAAACCCTCCAGAAATTATTTCAAATGCTCAGATCTCATTGATTTGATGACACAACAGTTACCTGTAAAACCTGATGGCATTAGATCTTCACACAAAAGACTCCAGACACTCAATTATAGTTTGTTTAATGAGTACAACATGAAAGACTCTGAACAATCTACAGACAAAATGGTTGAAAACAAATTCAAAATTCATTCTTGTCCACATTTTTTAACTGTGGATTTCACTATTTCATATGGCATTTTGTAAAGTTGGCACAAGATTTCTCTGGCACCTGTGGTAGTCAAATTATAAGCATCATTTCAAGCCCAGGAGACCTTGTGTGTGTGTACTTAATCATAAAAGAAATTAAATTTACACCTGCTTCCTATTAGGCACATGAAATTGCAAAAACTATTTCTCAGCCTACTTAATAATGAAGTTTTATGCCTGTCCTTCATCCAGTGATGATGGCACTGCTGAAAGTCAGAAGCCAAAAGAAAAATGGTAAGAAAGCAGACTCCATTTCAAAAGATAAACACCTACTCAAACCATTTTTCATGCAGTCCATTCTGCTGAGTTCCAAACTGCAGCACCAGAGGACACAGGCTCTTAACTGGAGACACTGAAGTAGTTGGATAGTCAGTACCCTTTAAAGAGTCTGCAATTAATACAAACACATGAGCCCTCCAGAGGCCAATTCTGAACCTGCAAACTCCCATCCTGTACTGCCCTGTGGAGGCACATACTGATTACACAAGGATGATCAAAATGCCAGTGAGTTCATCTCACCAGCCAAGGCCAGTGCCTGATGTTCACTCACAGGTCCCACTGCCTCCTACCTAACCCCTTGATTCCATAAACTTAGATCCAAGGGCTGCTAACACGGCCCTAGGAAGCCAATAAACACCTCCTTGTGCAAAGAAGGGTCCAGCTAAAGCAATTGCAGGACTGGCTGAAGCCTTAACACTTAGAAATGCTGGACCAATTCATACCTGAGCACATTGCTGAAACCTGTGTGAGCAATACATATACATAACAGGTTAAATTTGATCACTTCAGAGGTCTTTTCCAACCTGATTAATTCTGTAATACCAGGGATTTCAGAAGCAAAGCCAACCAGAGGCACATGTAGCTGTTCAAGCCTTATATTTTCTTGTTGCAGTTCTGGTCTGCCAAAGGCAAATGTGTAATTGTACTGCAATTACCTGCATGGCTTTTCTTTGAAAGCAAAAATTATGAGATTAGCCATTCTTCCCAGTATTTAAATGCCATAATCATTTAGTCATGCAACATTTCTGCAATTTGCTGAATGATTTCTTTTTCTGGATCATTTTCCTACTCTGATTGTAGGCTTTTTGCTTTAGAAATAAAACATTGCTAAGTAGAATTTAGTGTAAATTTAAACATGGAAAGTAAAAACACTGTGCTACAGAATTCCTGTCATTACAGATTACAGTTATTGGATAACTCTCTAAATTTAAAGGTGCCACTACAATACTGAAAAATAATGTAAAAAAAAAAACCACTAATTTTAAATTCCTGTGTCTATAATGGACAAGATCTATTACACATGAACAGATCATACAAAAGTCAAGAAGACTTCAAGCAAGCAAATATGATGGCACAAGTGAATTCCAAGCATATTGCACTCCACTGAGCTTAATGGTTCCTGAGTGCCCACGCACACTTTCTCCTGGACTGAGGCCTACCTTACATTCATTCTTACAAGGCTGCCAAATAGTTCCTTTACTGTCACCATTTTCACTAAAAAGAAATGTCAACCACTCTCTTATTTCTGTTACATCCTGTAGGAGATGTACCCCAATAGAGAAATATTTTTATATGTTGTTGTATGGCATGTTTTATGCCAAATGAATCCTGGGCTGCATCCACAGGAGTGTGGGCAGCAGGTCAAAGGAGGTGATTCTTCCCCTCTACTCTGCTCTCGTGAGACCCCACGTGGAATACTGTGTGCAGGTCTGGTGTCCTCAACATCAGAAGGACATGGAACTGTTGGAGCAAGTTCAGAGCAGGTCACAAAGTTGCTAAGAGGACTGGAGCATCTCCCCTGTAAGGACAGACTGAGGGAGTTGGGGCTGTTCAGCCTGGAGAAGAGAAGGTTGTGTGGAGACCTCAGAGCAACTTTTCAATATCTGAAGGGCCTACAAGGAGCCAGAGAGGGACTCTGAGTTAGGAACTGCAGTGATAGGACAAGGGGCAATGGGTTCAAACTGAAGAAGGCGAAGTCTAGGTTAGATATTAGAAAAAGGTTTTTTACTACAGGGATGGTGAGACACTGGCACAGGTTGCCCAGGGACGTGGTGGCTGCCCCGACCCTGGTGGTGTTCAAGGCCAGGCTGGGTGAGCCTTGAGCAACCTGATCTAGTGAGAAGGTGTCCCTGCCCAGGGCAGGGGTTGGGATTAGATGATCTGTAAGGTCCATTCCAACCCTTAAATTCCATGATTCTATGATATATGTTTATATTAATTGTCCAATACATGCATATAATGGGAAAATAACCTGTTACCACTCTATTTGTCTATTTAGGAGCTTTTTTTTGCATGCATGAAATAATCTTCTGAAGTATCTGAGTAACTGAATTTCACCTTTATGCTCTTTCTCATATTGTAGCTATTCATTAAAAACAATACAGATATAGATTTCTACATACCCGCTTGTCAAATGCTATCCAAGCAGGAGCGCTACTTCCCAGCCCTTGAGGAAACACACTGTACTTAGATGTCACCTTCTGACCATGTAATGGTACACCTCCTATTCCAGTTTTATCTTCTTCACTCAGCAGAGGAAGATCCTTGCAGTAAATCAAGAGCTGTGACCTGTGGAACCTTTCTTGCCCTATCTGTTAAGAGTTTGGAAGAAAAACAGAAAAAAATTATTTGTGTGTTTGTTTTTAGATCCCTAACAGTTAACTATCTAGCCAAGGAGGATTAGTCATGCAAAAGTTTCTCTATAATTACTTTTAGCACAGTAACAATTGGAATGCTGCAAGTGAAGTGACATTTTTCAGTGGTCCACTTGACACTCTTACAGACAAAAATGGAACAACATTCCAGTAATTTACCTAGGCTGAGAGACTGGATGATACCAGCCATTTCCCCCCCACACTCCTTCCCTGCAACAAGGATTGATGTATGTGGTAGAAAGAAGCAAGTCACCCACAAGAACTGTTGTAAAAGGTAGAAGGGAAAAGCCTTTTCTGCATAATCCTAGAGGACAAATAAAAACAGTTCTATTCTGTGGCAACCTTGGCCACAATATGTCCACAGTGTGAAACCAACAGATTCCCTTGCAGATATTTTCAGATTATTAAGAAGGTCTACCCTGTTTCATTTGCCTCCTGAAGGCACCAGCTAGCATGCTGTGCATGAATCCTTCCTTACACTCTGCACCATTTCACAGTACAGATTGTGTTCAGCAAATTTCTAGCTATCCTTGATGAGCAAGTTTGAAGTAGTGATGGCAGCCTTCTCTTTTGTTTGCTATGATATAAATACCATCTTATCTCTTCAGCCTGCCATCGGTATTAACAGCACTGGCACCTCTGAAACACCATGTCAGCATCCCTGGCACTCCTCCTCTCTGAAAAGACTTTTTGCTTCATGTAGAGGGGACTTTTTGCTTCTGTCTCTCCCTGTTTTCCTCTGTTAGAGATGCAACAAGAGCTCAAAGAGCACAGCAGCTGCCAGATCCTTCATCCTGGCCTGGCTGCACAGCATTTCCACTCCACAGGTGAGAATGGAGGAGGTCAGCACACATTTGCATCAGAAGGAGTGTGGCAGCAGGTCAAAGGATTATTTTCCCCCTCTACTCTGCTCTTGTGAGATCCCACCTGGAATATTGCACACAGTTCTGGTGTCCTCAGCATAAGAAGGACATGGAATTGCTGAAGCAGATCCAGAGGAGGTCACAAAGTTGCTAAGAGGACTGGAGCATCTCCCCTATGGGGACAGGCTGAGGAAGTTGGGGCTGCTCAGCCTGGAGAAGGTTGGGTGGGAACTTCATGGCAACCTTCCAGGAGCTGAAGGGGCTCCAGGGAGGCCAAAGAGGACTCTGTGTTAGGAGCTGCAGTGACAGGACTAGGGGCAATGTGTACATATTGAAAAAGGGGAAATTTACATAGACTCATAGAATCATAGAATCAACCAGGCTGGAAAAGACCTCAAAGTAGACCACTGAGTCCAACACGAGAAGGTGGGAACTTCATGGCAACCTTCCAGGAGCTGAAGGGGCTCCAGGGAGGCCAAAGAGGACTCTGTGTTAGGAGCTGCAGTGACAGGACTAGGGGCAATGTGTACATATTGAAAAAGGGGAAATTTACATAGACTCATAGAATCATAGAATCAACCAGGCTGGAAAAGACCTCAAAGTAGACCACTGAGTCCAACACTACGGTGGGAACTTCATGGCAACCTTCCAGGAGCTGAAGGGGCTCCAGGGAGGCCAAAGAGGACTCTGTGTTAGGAGCTGCAGTGACAGGACTAGGGGCAATGTGTACATATTGAAAAAGGGGAAATTTACATAGACTCATAGAATCATAGAATCAACCAGGCTGGAAAAGACCTCAAAGTAGACCACTGAGTCCAACACTACTGTGGTCACCAGACCATGGCACTAAGTGCCACATCCAGTCTCAGCTTGAAAACCTCCAGGGATGGTGAATCCACCACCT